GTAGTAAAATTACAGAACAAAATCATTTCATGTTCACTCTGAAAACATTTTACGTTTTAAAAATCATGACATCATGAACCTGATGAAATATCTTTGATAAAAATGAAGAAAACTCTACTTATACTGGACGTAGGACCATAAAAAATCATATTTGGCAACTTCTAACCTTACCCTATCATAATCCGTGAAAAACTCAAAATGCATAACCAGAAGTCTCTGTCGAGACTGTAGCTCTACTGGTTTGTACTTACACATGTATAATAAAGAAAGAAAACTAGCAGCTGGGACATAAAACTTTACAAAAGCAATAAATAGAAAGACAAAAACAGATATAGGGAATTATGCATCTTAGTGTGGTCTACTTGTGTACCAAGTTATATTGAAAGCAGACCAAAACTGTAGGAGGAGTAGCATTTTAAATGTATTTCCCAGAAATTTCTATTTTTAGTAACCACCACAATACCGTTCATCGAAATCAAAAACCGATAAAGTGAATTATGTATCTTAGTGTAGTCTACTTGTGTGCCAAGTTATGAAAAAATCAGACCAAAACTGTAGGAGGAGTAGCATTTTGAAAGTATTATTTTGAATTCTATTTTTAGTAACAACGGCAACATCGTTAATCGAAATAAAAAAAAACGAAATTCATCATTATGTATCTTAGTGTAGTCTACCTGTGTACCAAGTTATATTGAAATCAGACCAAAACTGTAGGAAGAGTAGCATTTTGAATGATTTTCACAAATTTTTCTATTTACAGTATATGTCTAACCACAGCAACACCGTTCATCGAAATCAAAAACCGATATACAGAATTATGTATCTTAGTGTAATCTACTTGTGTGCCAAGTGATATTGAAAGCAGACCTAAACTGTAAGAGGAGTAGCATTTTGAATGATTTTCACATAGATTTCTATTTTTAGTAACCACGGCAACATCGTTCATCGAAATCAAAAACCGATACACAAAATTATGTATTTAAGTGTAGTCTACTTGTGTGCCAAGTTATATTGAAATCAGACCAAAACTGTAGGAGGAGTAGCATTTTGAAAAATTGTTTACAGATGGGCAGACAGACAGACGGACGGACGCATCACTATCGCATAAGCTCTTCTGGTCTCTGACCAGTAGAGCTAAAAATTACCATAAGGACCCTTTTCCCATCTGCGCAATCAATTATTGTTTTCATATTAAACATCTGTAATACCTTTGAAAAGAATAAATTCACTATGATTTCTTGATCTCGCGACCTTGAAGTTTGACCTTCTTTTTCAAAATTTTTCTTGTAACTTATGTTGAGAAGAGATAGAACTTTAAAATTTGAACTGTGCATTACCTATTTCCAAGCATTCTATGATTTCTTACCCCCCTTACGATTGACCGAATGTTCCATAAAATCAACTTTGGCGATAAGTTCTGAATGACATATAATAGGTAGTTTATACTTGACACGATGTGCTATAAAAATGACATCACCTCCACAAAGACACCGAAAGCGTATCTGATATCTTGAATATGCTGGGCAGCTGGGTTACTTTATATAGATGTAAAAGTGTTTGAACCATAATGTTGCATTTGAATACCAAATCTGAAGAAGTATCCTGCTAATGCCTTAAATACTTGCCATTGATGTTTGCTGGAATTGAGAGGCTCGCAACGTCATTGCCGGAACAAATAAATCTCTCATCAGATGGAAGTCATGTCGTATACTATTCCCTGTAAGTGGTATACAGCCTCCAGATGGACGACCGTGGTAGGATTCCTGGAAGTCTTCCATGCAGTAAGAACAAAATACGTTCATAAAAGAATGAATGAGATCATCGTGCTGTTCATACGGTAATGTTAAACACGTGTCTTTGTAGATCACGTGATGGGTACCGGATTGGGTACAGAGCAGGGTTTTATCAAAGATCTCCCATGTACTCGACTTCCGGCACAGATAACAAATTTCATTTGTATATTCAGCAACTGCAAAAAAGGATTGGTTATTTGTGGTTTTACACACCCCTATTCCAATTTCGTCTGTTCTATCTTCTCTTCTTACGCTTGGACATTCCCTCGTTTTAATTGTACCAACTGTATCTAACTGACACAGGACTGCATCATCGACATCGTATACAATATCACAGTTATTGATAATAGCCAGTGTAAGAACTTGGCTAAAGTACAATGCGAAGTCAAATTGCAGTAGCCCGTTACAAAGAATGTGGATATCTAAAATTCTGAATTGCTCTGAAAAAATTGAGCCGTTTTCGAACGTATAATTAGTATTACAGAGAAAACAGAAAACATTTTTGTAGGTTACCTTGTTCGAAAATACTGGATAATCAAATTCATGAAAATCTCCCTCACATAATAGCTTTAACTTTTGGTGCACCTCTTTGTTCGCTTTTATTGAAGTGTCTTCGTAACAGACATGAACAATCTGTATTTTTGATTCTAGGTTTGTGCTTTGGGTCAACAAAATTCTCTGGGACCAAGTATTCCTGATACATTTTGTTGGATAAATTATTGCGGTATCCAAACAACAGCTACAGGGATTTTTGAACAAACAGGAGAAGGTGCAATCACAGTTTCTTATGGTAGAGTTCTGTAAGAACTTTGGTAAAATGTCCTGGTTGCACATACGATGGGGATAGCCAGACGTTTTGAATAGGAGTGATTCCATTCGATCTGTGATGTATTTAGCTGGTGCAGATGAGCTGGTGTTATCTTTTTTCACAATTTTTGTATTTAATATTTTGTTGATTATTGATGCATTGTTAAAAGCGTTGTTATAGAAAACCAATTTTTTTCGATTGATTTCCTTTCTTTCACTGATTTCACGAACATCACTGAAAAAGTCCATGAAAACATATTCATAGGTCATGTTTCCTATAGTAGTGGGTCTGTTGGATGAGGGAATATTGCACAGGAAGCAGTAAAAGTTACGATATGGATACGTCAGATCTGAAACTGGGTTGTCATTGCACAATTTTTTAATCGTGTCCGTAGCTGATTTTGGACATGTTATGGTGTTTGGCTGAAGTTTTCTGATGTTTTTCAGTTTGCAAAGGTAACAAAACACGTTCTTATAAAGTCTGAATTCGTTCACGTAAGAGGAGAAGCAGGCAGTATGAAGATCTTCATCATCATGACAGGCTTCTGTGAGATATCTAATATCAACCCAGTTGGCAATAAAAACGACGTCTTTAAGCTTAGGAGAAGGCGAGAATATGACCGTGCTGTTCCGTTTCTTAATGACTGTTTTCAATTCATCCTTAGATTCTATGAAATAGACATAATTAGAAGTTCCAGCGATAGATATGTCCCAATCAACTAGCTCAGATCTGTTTTCACCGTGACACAAAGCACAATGAATGTTGTAGTATGTGTAATTACTTACAAGTGAAGTAACGAAGGTTCTGTCTTCTAAACTAAAATCAGGCTTTATACATTTATCGAGCACCTCCGCAAACGCTGGGCAGTGATCCACAACATGATACAATGGGAGGTAAGTGTTCTTGTCTCTGAATGGCGACCATTGGTAGACCGCGTCATGGAATCGCGTCAGTTTCCTTTGGAAAAATTTGTCAGGACAACAAGTATTCTCACGAAAACAGTTGTCCTCGCACGAGCATGGCGGACAGCGCGAGTTTATTGGATTCTTCTCGTACCCTGTTAAGTCTGTCCAGTCCTTACAAATGCCGTACTCTCCACAGGAATTTATGTAGATTCTCATAAGCCTCGTAAGGTTCAGTTTTGAGTAAGTTGTAGAAAGTAGCATCGTGAAAATCAGTTGGAAAATAGTTTGATACATGATGTATTCTTAAATACTGATCTGAAATTTAAAAAAAAGAAGAGCTTTATAAACCTTTTCTAGAAAAAAAAATTATTGTAAAAATAATTATATAGACATTATGTCCCTAATTTCTACTTTTAAAAAAAACTTGTTGAAAAACACATTTTTTATGATCCGAAATATTCACGTTAAGCAAAGGTATCCAATTCTTATTTCCTCTGAACAAACCACTGGTGATGTCATTTTTTTGCATGTGAAACTAACATCTAGTAATCTCATTGTGTAGATTCGGACAACGGTAAAGTGCGTAACGCTAGTCCAAGATGGCGACAGGCAAATACGCTTCAATCATTTTGCACTTAGTTTCAGCATAAAACAGACTTAGATTATAAATTTTGATGTTAGAACATTCAGAAGAACACAATTATTGCGAGAAGTTGGCATGACATGCGCTAATTAAAGACAAATTACGGGTATAAAATTTGAGCATGATTAGGATAAAATTGATTTTTGACTAGGGTAAAGATATTTTGATCTCTTTTGATTACTAGGGTAAATCATAAAGTAAGTGTAAAATGTCATATTCCTTGTTTCAGGACCGAAGAGATGCTCTTTCGAGGGGTGTTTACTCATAGGCTTCTGGAATTTCCACATATTGTTAAATTGGAATTTTCACTGATAGACCACTTTTCGTTATGTTCACATTATTCATTGAGCAAACTCGATTCACTATATAGGGTTTTTCATAAATCCCTGCGAAAACACCATGAAACTGGAAAATTCTCATTTTAAAAAGAACCGAGTGCAATGGCGAAGTACGACATTTTTATAGTTAGTTTACTAGTATGATCCTATTTTATTATATCTTGGATATATTATAACAAAATGAGAAGGAAAAACAACTCTCTTTTGATTTAGATGCGGCGAATTTTTTTCAAACACCTACAGATCAATTAAAGTATAAAGAAAAGTGAGAGAGAAAGATTTTGTTAATTTTTTTCGGTTTTGACGTGTGCATAATGGATAGAAGTGGAGTTTTTGTAGTATCCTTACACTAGATCTAAGGTCTAGAAACGGATTTTAAAACATTTCTGTATCTATACTAAGGTAACTGACAAGGAGTTTCTTCGAGAAATAAATTAAAGCTCTATATTCGGGTTTCTGTTTTCTAAAAGGTTTTCTTTAAATGTGCTTCTTTAACAAGTTGAACACACCTGAAACGTAGCCTGTTTTAGTAAACATGGCACGAACTCTGTGTAGTTAATGTGACGTTATACCGGGTGTGTTCAATTCTGCACACACCATTAAGCACGGACTGACAATACTGGTAAGTTAGTTTTGCTTTTTAGCTCAACGGAGCTGACATCTCAAGTGAGCTTTTCTGATCACCCGTGATCCGTCTGTCCGTCCGTAATCATTTCACATTTTCAATTTCTTCTCAAGAACTTAAGAAATGATGACTTTAAACAAGACGGCTGATATTCTTGTTTCATCAACTTGCTTGTCAATAATTTACCTCGTTTTAGAAAATGTTCATACGTAGAGCAAGCTTTTGTGTATCGAATCAACTGAGATATATGCACTCCTATGCAGATGATGAAGGTATATTGCTGCATAAGTAAGGGAAGTTGACGATAGAAAAGTTAAAGTCATCACGTTTATCATATAGCTTGGTTGTTAGATTAACATTAACGTCTTTTTCAAGTAAAATATCCAAGTATGAAACAGATGTCTCAGACTCTGTAGTATCTTTTATCTCAAGCTCACCAGGATATATCGGATCGACGTAGGAATGGAAATGATCATTGTTAATTGACAATACGTCGTCGATATATCTAAATGTCGAGTTCATGGCCACAGCAAGTGTTTTCTTTTTTTCATGCATAAGATTTTGCACAAATTCTGCTTCATATGAATATAAAAATAAATCCTTTACTAAATTTCATTTCACTATGTGCAACCTGGGAAGAAAATTTTTTAACGGATTTCCCCCTTGTAATACCTATATCTTGACTTTGTCCAATTCAAAAGGATCATGATTCGAACAATTTAGATTCCGCATTATCCTAGGATGCTTCCACATAAGTTTAAGCTTTTTTAGCCCAGTGGTTCTTGAGAAGAAGATTATAAAAGTTTTTTCCTATACAATACTATGAAAAACTCGGATTCCCTGTTGTTACCCCGCACTACCCCGGGGGTCATGATTTGAGAAATTTAAATTTTTCACTAGCCTAGGATGCTTTCACATAAGTTTCAGCTTTTCTGGCTCTGTGTTTCTTTAGAAGAAGATTTTAAAATAATTTTCTATTTATTGCTATGTAATGGATTTCCTATTGTGGCCCCGCCCTAACCCGCGTAGTCATAATGTTAACAATTTAAATTCTACACTAGCCAACAATGCTTCCACATAAGTTTCAGCTTTTCTTGAGAAGATTTTTTAAGTGTTTCCTGAATATTCTATGTAAAACTTGAATTCCCCATTGTTTCCCCGCTCTACCCCCTGCTTCCACATAAGTTTCAGTTTTTCTGGCCCAGTGGTTCTTGAGAAGATTTTTAATGACCCCACCCTATTTTTTCTTTTCTTAATTATCGCCCCTTGGAGGGGACTTGGGTCTTTATTTTAACAATTTAAATTTCCCTTTACCCAGGAATGTTTTGTACCAAGTTTGGTCAAAAATGGCTCAGTGGTTCTTGAGAAAATTTGAAAATGTGAAAAGTTTATAGACGGACGGACAGACAAACGGACGACGGACAATGGGTGATCATAATGCCTTTCACTGCTCTAACATCAATCGCAGTAAAAGAAAACTTACCTTCGGGCAAGTCATAAGGGACACATTCTTATTGCAGGTTTGATAAAAGTTATCCAACTTCACACTCTTGGATAAATGTTAACTATATCTTAGATAGGTGCAAATAATTCTAAATATTACTCATATTTGAAACAACATTTTTAAAAAAAATTACACTGAGCCAAGATTGGCCAACTTTAATATAATGATGACTAATGATGAAAAAATTGGATGAAAAAAGTTGGCTGAGACAATTCTTTTCTCTCCAGAAATTTCCATGTTAATGGTATTTTTAAAGATATTTTTATCGCCCATTTCATGCCAGTCGATAGGTAGAGAGAAATCAAACAATTCTTTAAAGATGCCCCTGCCATGATATATTTTAGACTATTACTTTTTGTTATATTTCAAATGTTCGTGGACAAGTACTGGTATTGACGATCCTCCCGGAAATGGTTATGGAAGATTGAAAAATAAGCCAAATATTAAAAGAATCCGTCTCTGATATACAGACGATACGTTTTCTTTTTTCATTCAATTCTTATCTGACAGAAAAAAAAAATATCTAAAGATAAATTCCTAAATGTGAAACTGCATAAAAATCATCTACCGGTATTTTATACCAAATAAAACTTAAAAAAAAACTTACCGTTTTTATAAAGCTGTTTTGATCACATTGAAACATTCAAACAACATTTATTACAATTTGACGTTAGAATGCCCTGTAAGAAGGATAAAATGGACGTTGTCAAGTTATGATTAGGATTTTATCATGTTAATGTGTTTAAATCGGATTGGTAGAACTTTCCCAGAAGGAAGTTTTACACAACGTTCTGTCACTTTTTCTTATTTTTTCAGGTGACATTTATTTATTTGATGCCTTTAACAGGTATTAACTATTTTAATATTTGTCATTTCTTTCGCATGGGATTTTTTTTTTCGAAGAGACTGAATTTTTTAAAAAATTTTCATGATCGACCCTCGTCCTCTTTGCTATGCTAGTTAATCCCCCTCCCACTAAGTGACCTCAGGGGATAACTTCACGATATTCCGGAAAGTTGGGAGAAAATAACAATCGCTAGTGAACTCATCAAAATTAAAATAAAAGTAGTGTGATGATTTGAGGCTTGTGGGCACAGGGGTGTCGAACTACATCAGCAGTACATATAGATATAACCGTCCAAATTGTGCATCTACTTTACTGGGGTATAAGACGGAACCCCAAATATGTAGGTTTAACAGATTTACAAGTAACAGCTTTTTAAAAAGCTTGCCTGGCTAAATCAATCAATATCTGCATGAGGAGTGATAAACTTTTTGAGCAACACTTGAGCAACCGTACGTAAATGAAATCTTGATTTTATTCAACTTTTAGAAGAATCATCTCTACACAGCATACCAAAGAGTTGGTATTCTGTGGGGTTTTCTGCAAGTGGAGTAATCTGCCCTTTGATCTAATTTAGGCTAATTAATTTCAAACTTCTTTGTAACACCTATTATAAAATCTGTTACGAAATCATGCATTGTCAACATTCTAAAAGATGGATATAATTAAATAAACATTTTGTTGGAGTGTATTTTCTCCACTGAAGTAAACAGTAGTAATGTGTGTTTATAATTTTTTTTCTTAAAAGGATGGAGGGGGGGTATAGTCCCACTATCATATATTGAGAATGAAATAAGTAAATTTACTACTAGATCTGTGTTGAACGAAAAATCCAAGATTTTGCACTTGTTTCTTATTCATTGTGTGCATCTGAACAGAGACATATAATAGGTCATACTTCTGGAGACCATGACTTTGCTGAAATGAGTTGTTAAAAAAAAGTTGGAATAAAATTAAACCAACCGCGGGATCGGGAAACAAATTAGAAAAATCATCTCTTTAGTGCTGCATGTCCGTATACTGATATATTATATTATGTTGTTAAAGAATGAGATAAGGCATCCATCTGTAGATAGAATTTCTGAAGCATGAAGATAAACTTTAATACCATGGAAGATAGAACACCCATTCATACAATAGAACGATCCAAGGAAAAGGTGCGATGAAAGCAGTGATATTTGGCGCGTAAAGAGCGATTCGCCCCATTCGTAGAATATGAGTGGACTGATCCAGTAGTATATAGAAATGAAGAAAAATGGATACACGGAAATATTGAAACGGTGAATCAGATGGAATAATTGTTCCATGCAAAAAGAAAAGATTGTCATGTTGATTTGAAAATTTTGCTGAGAACAATATTTTTCATCTCCAAAAAACAAAACAACACAAAATTGTAAAAAAAAAAGGGGGGGCGGGGGAGGGGGGATAAAGGTCACGGAGACTTATTGAATAAAATTAATAATTGCATTATTTACCAGTCACTAATAATAGCAAATGTTCTTAATCAGGAAATTATATGTGAACGATCATAAACATTGTGGAAAGGTCATATGCCTCGACAATATTTGGCTTTTAATAAAGCTATACAATAATTACATGTACAATGCTCCAATTTCAATGTTCATTTTCTAACTGTCCAGACTTTTATGAATTAGTAGGGAAGAGAAACTTCTGGTATGCCGATCAATATGAAATATTTCTGTATTTACCTTTTCGTTGGAGGAGTATTTTTCATTAAGGACGGACAATGTCAGGTATTGTCATTTTTTTTCATTAAGAATCTACTCTGTTTTCTAAATAAAAAGAAATTATTCGAAGTTATTGAATAAAAGATTACTTTTGATAACAGAGAAATAGAAAGAATGATTTGATTTTATTCGAAATTATTAAATATTAAATTATTAATTTTGATGTCATAGATATATTTTGTTATAAAGAGATGCTTTTTTTTAATTTAAGGATGGGTGTGCACATGTAAGACAGGCAGGCTGTCGTTTTTCGATCATATCTGTCTGGTGTCCATATCTGATCTGTAACTCAACCCCATTCAATTGAATAAAATTAATAAACTGTTTATTGATCTTTTATTGCAGCATTATTGTGCACCTCTTATTTTGATAAGACAAATGTTCCCCTTTGTAACAGAACAGCATGAAAACTATTGGTAGACATTTATTACCCGAAGCTCCTTTCATTCACTATGTCGTGTTTAGGAGTACATGAGCCTGTCACAGAAAATAAAGTTTAAACATAATGCTGTATGTACTACTTACATGTATTATAGTGCATTTATTTAGAGAGTGTAAACACATTTATATATAATTATTTTTTATTTTCAAAAAGGTTTGTTTAGATTATTTTGGTAGTTATTCCCAGTGCAAATCATTTATATTCTTCAAAACCGTTTCGGAGCGGATCCGCTCCGATTTGCTACATTACAAGTATATGGGACGTATTCTAACTGTGGTGAGGGCCTGTACCGAGACACAGTTAGATTATTCTAACTAACATGTATTATACTATTTAATTAACACATTTATATTAATTATTTTATTTTCTTCTTTAAATTAAGCATTAATTTTTAGAAAGTATGCCCTTGTATGACGACAACTGTTGCACCGGAAATGACATATAAAGAAATAAGGCCTTATGGGAAGGTGGATTTCCAGCCTTTGTCAGTGACGAAGGAATTTGACACATCTACCTTCACTGTGACGTATACAGCAAAAATCCAAGGTCCGAAGGATTCTGTGAGTCCTTTCAATGGCCAATTAGAATATGGTAAGGTTTGAATCTAATTTTCACTTATTTAATTTTTCCTTATTCTTTTATTTTTCCTGACGTTATTTTCCAAGATTTTTTTTACTCACTTAGAGGCAACCACTTGTTTAAGTTTATTTACAAATTTTTCAAATAAAAAAATAGTAACCAACAGTTTTTTTTTAGAGTGACCTAATTTTCCGTCCAGAGTTTCCTTCTACAGTTTGTACCATCGAATCTATTCTCCCTATATAATTTAGAAAAGCTGTCAATCGTACGTCTAGCAATTTAGGAAAATCATGTAATTGAACAATCTTTGAATTTTTGTTACACCCCCCCCCTTCATTAGTTGAAAAAAAAATCCCGTTTAATGAGTTTTCGTCACTACCTTCCCTTGTAGGAATCGGATAGAAATGTTTTGAAGCATTTTATTCATTTGAGCAGTTATAAAACATTACACCTTATTCCGATAATCTATATTCATTTTCAGTTACAGACAAAAACAACAATACGATCCTAATTGCGCGGCTGGAGATGTATGCTTGGGAGAAACAAACCGAAAATCAACCGCCCATCGTTCTCTCCTCGGAATCGTCATCATCTACATTTATAATAAGCATTAATACCGCCACAACTAATTCCAAACAGACGTATTTCCCAGAAACAAGATGTTCCTATGGAATTTCTAGCACCGATACCGGGAACATCATCAGATACGATTCTAAGACTTCCTGCGAAAGCGGGTCACGTGGTGTCTATTCTTACTTCAAAGCTACGTATAAAGGGTCAAGAAAAGGATCGAAATCAAATAATGAGATCATCGGGGATGATGTGCCGAAGGACTTTTTCAATAATACAAGCAGTGACGATGGAAGAACAGCTTCGTGTTTTGTGAATCCAACGAGGATGCTGGCGGATGGCGTGAGGCTTGATACGTTAAAGTATGAATTATTGACAATTCCTGATACCCAAGACCAGGAGCTGGTGGCTTATACTGTTTGGAGCTTTCATCTCCTGTAATTTGCTAAATTAAACAGCTATTAAATTTATAAATAAAATGAGTGTAACATTGTTTAATGTATTTCCCATGGTATTATAAAAGGTGAATTCGTTTAACAAAATAACAAAAAAGGAAGAACCAAAATTTTTTTCTACCGAATGAACGTTTTAATTTTTAAAAAATGACTATTTATATTATATGCATTTTAATTAATTTAGTCATAAATTTTGTTATACATTATGGAAAAATTTTTTAATAAAATAAGAATTAAGTTCTATATATTTGACAAATAGTAAACATTTAATAATTGTCAAGATCTAGAGAGTGTAAACTTCTCTAGAAGGATGTTAAACGATATACAATCAACAATTGAGATCTTCGTATCCGTTTCTTGCTTGCCTTTTTAATTCAATAAAGGAACAGTCATTTTCTCCAAAAGATGCTGTATGATACGTATAATCGAAGTAATATTTTAGTTACATGATATAAGAAATGCTTTAGAAAGAAAATACAAACTAACAGATGTCGCGGTATGGAGCAGCAAATAGGTATTTTTAATTTAATATTTACGCGGCGAATCAATATCGCACCAGGTACGTTGATTATCTAATTTATTTATCTATTTGTGCTATAAATATATACAGTGTAATAAACTCTTACAGAAAATACAAAGAAGTCTTTCCAAATTAAAAAAAAAACGCTGTTTATGAAAAAAAAAAGGTAAGTATTACTTGATCTTTCTCGTGGAGAAATGAATCCTACCTCAGCACTCTATGTGTAAGATTTGCAGTAACGGAGGGAAAAAAGCCGATACAAATATTCAACATTAGGACGCAGTGAAATAGGAAAATGCAACGTTATGTCTATTTTATTTATCTAGCGATTGCAAGTGTTACCGTGTTTGTGTATCTCTATTCCGAAATCAAGACAAGAAATCAGTTCTACTATATGTATGAAAACAGGGATGAAAGTTTCGTCAAGGAAAAGAGAACAATTAAACTCCAAACAAAGTACCCCCTGACTTTACAAGGAGAATATATCATCAACAACAAAAGTGTGTGTCGCAATACTAAGAAGGTATCGGTACTCGTTATGGTACATACCGCCGTGGAGCATTTCGGTACAAGGTCCGAGATGAGGACAACGTGGCTCAATATAACCCGGTACAGACCGGAAGTGATTCGTGTGATATTTCTTGTTGGAACAACCTTAAGGAAAACCAGTCAAGAAAAGCTGGAAGAAGAGAACGCTTTACACCACGATATTATTCAAGGTGATTTTAAGGATACCTACAGGAACTTAACTAACAAAGGCGTGATGGGATTACGATGGGTAACGGAGAACTGCATGAACGCAGAAGTCATCGTAAAAATTGATGACGATTCTGTCATTAACTTTTTCAAGTTCTTCGAAAACTTTTCGTATTTGAGAAAAAGAAAAAGATTTCTTTTCTGTCACGTGATGCCGAGAAACGCTGTGAGGATTGAACGTGACAAGAGAAACAAGTGGTTCGTGAGCGACAGATTTCTGAAGGGATTTAAATTATACCCGTATACATACTGCAGTGGATTTGCTGTTTTCATTTCCAAAGACTTAATTCCGGCATTGTACAAGGCCGCCATGACAGTTCCTTTCTTCTGGGTGGATGACGTGTATCTTTTCGGAATTCTGCCTTCTCGTCTGAAAAACGTAGTGTATACCAATATGGCTAGAAACATGACCATTAACCCTTACAGAGCTCTTGACTGTTATAGACGATTAAAGAGCAAATGTAATTATCTTGCCATGCAGGCGAAGGGTGTTCAGATACGTAACCTATGGAACTTAATCGAACAAGAATAAATACAACTGGATGAAACGTTAAAAAAATATTCAAATTGTAAAGCAGTAAAGTAGACTTGATCAATACATCGTATTTCCAATATATAAAAAGTATAGCGTGAAATATTCCCTGATAGTACCTACATTTCGCGCAGTCTTCCAATTCTATACTCTTGTTATGTCATTGTTAAAATTATTGAGCAACTGTTAGAAATATCTTTTTTGTAAAAAAAAAATTCAAAATACATTTATTATTGAATATTGCCGAAATCCAATCTTATCTTTTCTGCTTCAAAACTAATCCAGCCCTCTGGGCATGATAATAACCAATGCCCATCTGCATTGATTTCTACAAGAAGGCGATATTTAGATCGACTATATGAGTTTGTTTACCTATATTCAGTGTCAAGGGAAACCTTTTTAATTAGTTTTGTATTTCTAACAAGTCGACAAAAAGCTGAACGCCTACTTGGTTACTACTATAACCTTCATCCACATGCCTTGCTCATTCAAGCTAACAAAAAAAAAACAGTAGGTGACATAACTGTCCAATTGGTAAGTGAATCAATTCCCCTTATTCTATTATGGCATCTTATCAGAAGTACCAGATTATGCTTCCAAAGCCCCGATGGTTTTTAGCTCACCTGAGCCGAAGGATCAAGTGAGCTATTCCGATCACATTTTGTCCGTCGTCCGTCTGTCTAGCTGTCTGTCCGTCTGTAAACTTTTCACATTTTCGACTTCTTCTCAAGAACTACTGGACCAATTTTAACAAAACTTGCCACACAGTATTCCTTGGTAACGGTAATTCAAGTTTGTTCATATGTAGGGTCACGCCCCATTCTAAGGGGAGATAATTAATAATTACTGAAAAATTAATGGCAATTTTCAAAAATCTTCTTCCCAAGAACCACTGTGCCAGGAAAGATGAAACTTATGTGGAAACATCCTCAGGTAGTGTAGATTCAAGTTTGTTCAAATCATGACCCCCGGGGATAGGGCGGGGCCACAATGGCCGATCAAAAGTTTTACATAGGAATATTTAGGGAAGAAATCTCTAAAAACGATCTTCTTCTTGAGAACAGCAGAGCCATGATTGGTCATATTTATATGGAAGCATCGTCAGGTAGTGTAGATTCAAATTTGTTCAAATCATGACCCCTGGGGGTAGGGCGGAACCACAATGGCCGATCAAAGTTTTACATTATAATATATAAGAAAAATCTTTTCAAAGTCTTCTTGAGAACAGCAAAGCCACGATTGGTCATATTTATATGGAAGCATCTTCAGAATGTGTAGATTCAAATTTGTTTAAATCATGACCTCCGGGGGTAGGGCGGGGCCACAATGGCCGATCAAAGTTTTACATAGAAATATACAGTGAAAAATCTTTTTTCTTGAGAACAGCAAAGCCATAATTGGTCATATTTATATGGAAGCATCCTCAGGTAGTGTACATTCAAGTTTGTTCAAATCATGACCCCCGGGGGTAGGGCGGAACCACAATGGACGATCAAAGTTTTACACAGAAATATACAGGGAAAATCTTTTAAAATCTTCTTCTTTAGAATAGCAAAGCCATGATTGGTCATTGTTAAAATCATGATCCCCAGGGGTAGGGCTGGGCCACAATGGACGTTCAAAGTTTTGCATAGGAGTATATAGAAAAAATCTTCTCAAGAACAGCAAATTCATGATTGGTCTTGTTTATTTGGAAGCATCGTCAGGTAGTTTATATACAGATTTGTTAAAATCATGACCCCCAGGTTATGGTGGTACCACAATAAAAGTTTCAACTTATTGGGAAGAAAGCCAGAGTTAGTCAAAAAATATGTAAGCATCCTTATTGAGCGTAGATTCAAGTTTGCATAGATAGAAGTTTGTTCAAATCATACCCCCCCCCCCTTCTTTAGGATATGGGTCACTTAGGTATTTATTGAATTGATTTTCTGTTCCTGGTCACAATGCTCAGGTGAGCGATGTGGCCCATGGGCCTCTTGTTTGTCCTATCCACACCTGGTAAAAGTGGTAGAGTGGACGGGGGGAACGCAAGCTCCCCCACTTTCTACCCCAAAGATGTCTTCCTCCTCAACCGATAGTCATCATGAACGATAAATCGACCAAAAAATTAGTTTTAAGCTTAAGTTTAATTAGTTTTAAGTTTAAAAAAAAACCCAGAATCAATTGAATCCGAAATTCGATGAGTTGATATTCGAATATAAATTTATGATTCGAATATTAGTTAAGTGTACAAGCATTTAAAAGAGAGAAAAACCTGGCAAGATTTATTAGAAATCGAATCAAGTTTTTACAAAATTAAAAGACTCTCCTCTTGGATAACATATACTTTAAAGATGTGAAGAGTGTATCTATTAAAGTAATTTATTCATTTGTTCACTTAATTAGTGGTATAATAGTGTCCAGTACTTACAGTCAGCTTGTATTGTTGTAAGGACACAGTTTTACAGTAAACACATGGATCTCTTGTTTAGGTAAATATCATTAAAAATCATTATCAGGAAATTAATTAGCAAAAAAGATTTCTTTTTATTTTTCTTCAGTAGATAATTGTTCTATCTGGTATAAATTTGTAGAAGTTATCAGTGTAGACTTTAGGTAGACGACCAATTAATCTGGAACATACCAAAGAATCTTTCGAGATTTAAAAAAAAAATCATTACGTTTTGGATGTATTCTCTTCAATGACATATATTTGATAATTAAAATAAGATAATTGTGTTGCAATTACAACTCTGTATAAGTATTGATTACAATAATGGCATAAAACCTATATATACTGCTTGACAGGAGAGTGAAGATATAAATTATATATAATGCAAGATGTATTTATTTAATCGAATATTCGAATACTCCTATCGAATATTCGAATATCAATAACTGACAATTTTGACATCCCTAATTTTAAGACAAGAAAATCGTTAGCCGCAAAAAAACATAAAATGGGACCTTATTTATCAGCGATTTTTTCGATACATTAAGGGAATTTAAAGATAATTTAATGAAAATATAATTTTTTCCAGAGTATTTAGAATTCTGAGATGTGGGAGATTTGTTCGACTTGCACATGTACGTTTCCATTTCTGCTGAAAATACCTGTCAGCTAAATGAGGAAGGGTAAAAAACAATGACGCACAGATGGATTGCTTAAATGGAGTTTAAAGCTGGATTAAAACGGCTTTGATCTGAGATTATATCACATTAACACTACCAAGGAAGCCTTTTGAGACTGTTAAGGTTTACCTAAGTCTACGATGCACTATTGACCCCAGGATTTTGTCAAGTTAGAACATTTTCAAATGATTTATCCTATTAAATATCTTCTGTAGTAGTGTCAAGTGATTTTTCGTGATGAGAATCGTTCCATTTCTGAAATATTAAACGTTGACATGTTTGAACTGCTTTACATTACATTTATATGGTCATGTCCTCATGGAGTTAGCTCTCCGAAAAAACAAATATTTTGACAGACCGGAGAGCTACAGTGCCACCCATTGTAAAAACTGTATATTTATTGCGTGCTATAAGTTTCTGTTAGTTCTAGATTAATTCTTAAATCTTCCAAATTCACACGTTAGGATGTTCAAATTTAATTCTACGTTTAACGTCACCTCTAAAGTTCAAAAATTACGAGTGAGGGAGGAAAAAAATCAACACAATTTTTTTTTAAACAATTCAGAATTTATTCAAATTAACCTATTCAATACATAAAAACCACTATAATCGAATAATAAGAGTATCGGATATGACACCTAAGTCTAATTTCCCTAGCAGAGTTTTTCCTCGGTATGCAAATGGTTTGAGTCCTTTAGTTAGCAAACAATGTGGGCTTAATGTAAAGGAAAGTGGCTTTTAGCTAGGCCTTGGTTGTCCTTTGGATTTATATTGCCTCATATCCATGGTACCCTTTATGGAAATGCTTCTTCTTGTGGGAATAGTTGATCCGAAGCAGACAAAGAGATCATGACGTTACAAGGGACGTATTTTACGCTTGCTTTCGTGCGCCGGTGGACACTTTCTTTTTTTTTTTTTTACATAATTTAATTAATAGATGTGATATCATCATGAAACTTAAAATGCATGATCATAAAATGTTACTTTTTGCTATGATAAGGGAAAAAAATTAATTAAGCAAAGAGAAACTTAACTGTTTTCCCTGTCTACGACTTTTTGGGACAACCCTCGTATTTGCTAGATATAAGAACATAATTCGCATTTTATTCATAAGTATATGACTAAATGTGTGACTCAATTAATTAAAATACATAAAATATACATGTAGTAGTCATTTTTAAGAAAATAAAACGTTTATTCGGTAGAAAAAAAATATTGCTACTTTCTTCTTGGATAAACGTCTTCACCTTTCATAATACCATGGGAAATACATGAAACAATGTTACTTTCATTTTATTTATAAATTTAATATAGGTCTAAGGTAAATTGGGAAATGAGTAATTAACACTATTTCCCAACTTTCTTATCTCATTGTGCTTGTAACTATGCTAATAAGTTACTTAAATATTCTATAAGGAATATATCAAAGTTATATTGCTATATTAATATACAAATGTAGATATTGTTCATAAAATTATGGCTGTTTAATTTAGCAAATTACACAAGATTAAAGCTCCAAACGGTATAAGCAACCATCTCCTGGTCTTGGGTATCAGGAATCGTCAATAATTCAAACTTTAACGTAGCGAGCTTTATACCATCCACCAGCATTCTCGTGGGATTCACAAAGCACGAGGCTGTTCTGCCATCCTCACTGCTTGTATTATTGAAATAGTCCTTCGGTATATCCTCCCCGATGACGTCATCAACATTTGAGTTCAATCATTTTCTTGACCCTTTGTACCACAGGGGCCGGTAACATACTGTTTTTGATCTTAGGTAATCACTATATATATACAAAAAAGGAAAGGGAAACAACGTCAGTCCGTATTTACACAGGGTTGATCTCGGAAATATTTCGTATTTCATAGAAAAAAGAATGTAGCCAATTAAATTATAACTAGAAATCATACTACAATAAATATTCTTTAATAAAACAGAAACCTCGTTACTTTTTATAGCTTTTAATACTAACTCGATATCCCGTTGTGCGAGTCGATGTACATTAAGTCGTCCACAAAAACAAGGCAAAATTCGCACACGGAGATGGAAAACACCCTAAAATCATGTTAATTGCAATTAAAAGGTACAGTCGATTTGAATAAATACGGTAGCTTTTTTGTTCACAGAGAGGTTCGACATTTTGGAAAAACCCATGATTGGTGTTTAGAAAAGCACCATTGACCAATATCTCGCGTTAAATATTGGATGCAATGTTTAGCGAATTTAGTGGACGACTTAAATACATCACTTGCATGACAGGATATCGGATCTGCAAAACACGACTTGATTCTTAAATGACCGCGATGGAAGTGATTACGTCTGTTATTTCACTAACTGCAAGGTATTTTATTTTGTTGTCGACGTTGTTTCCCTTTCTATATACATATAGTGATTACGTAAAATCAAATACAGTAAAAATGTAAGAAGATGTTGTTGAATCGTGTCCGGTGATGTTTCCGGTATCGGTGGTAGAGATTCTATAAGAACATCTTGTGCCTGGGAAATACGTCTGTTTGGATTTTGTTGTCGAGGTATTAATGCGTATTAAAAATGTAGATGATGACGATTCCGAGAAGAGAACGATGGGCGGTTGATTTTCAGTTTGTTTCTCCCAAGCATATATCACCAGCCGCGCAATTAGGATCGTATTGTTGTTTTTGTCATTAACTGAAAGTGAATATAGATTATCAGAATAAAGTGTAATGTTTGATAACTGCTGAAATGAATAAAAGGCTTCAAAACATTTTTATCCGATTCCTACAAGGGAAGGTAGTGACGAAAACTCATTTAACGGGATTTTTTCTTCAAATAATGAAAGGGGGGGGGGTTGTAACAAAAATTCAAAGATTGTTCAATAACATTATTTTCTTAAATCGCTAGAAATACGATTGACAGCTTTTCTAAATCATATAAGGTGAATAGATTCGATGGTACAAACTGTAGAAGGAAACTTTTGACGAAAAAATTAGGTCACTCTAAAAAATTGTTGGTTTATATTTTCACAACTAAAATATTGGAGAAATTTGTAAATAAACTTAAGCAAGTGGTTGCCTCTAAATAAGTAAAAATTCTTGGAAAACAACTTCAGGAAAAATAAACGAATAAGGAAAAAATTAAATAAGCGAAAGTTAGATTCAAACCTTACAATATTTTAATGGGCCATTGAACGGACTCACAGAATCCTTGGACCTTGGATTTTTGCTGTATATGTCACAGTGAAGGTAGATATATCAAATTCCCTTGTCACTGACAAAGACTGGAAATCCACCTTCCCATAAGGCCTTATTCCTTTATACGTCATTTCCGGTGCATCAGTTGTCGTCATAAAGGACATATTTTTAAAAAATTAATGCATAATATAAAGAAGAAAATAAAATAATTAAAATGTGTAATTAAATAGTATAATACATGTAAGTAGTACATACAGCATTATGTTTAAACTTTATTTTCTGTGACAGGCTCATGTACTCTTAAAAACAACGTAGTGAATGAAAGGAGCTTTGGATAGGAAATGTCTTAATTTCCAAAGTTTTCATAAGAAATGTCTATCCATAGTTTTCATTTTTTTCTATTACAAAGGAGAACTTTTGTCTTATCAAAATGTAAAATAAGAGGTGCTGAATGACACTCTGCACTAAAAGATCAATAAACAGTTTAGTAATCTTATTCAATGGAATGCGTTGAGTTGCAGATCAGATATGGAAACCAGACAGACATGATCGAAAAACGACAGCCGGGCTTACTCATCACTGATATCAAAATTCATCTTTTAGTAAATATATGTAACTTCGAATAAAATGAAATTGATATTTAGTGTAAATAGTGGATTCTATAATAAAAAAGAAGTATATATGGCATTGTCCGTCCTTTAAGATGAAATATACTCCTCCAACGAAAAGATAAATAAATATTTAACATTGATCGGCATACCAGAGGTTTCTCTTCCCAACTAATTCATACAAATCTGGACAGGTGGAAAATGAATAAGGAAATGGAAGCATTGTAATTATTGTATAGCTTTATTAAAAGCCAAATATTATCAATGCATATGACCTTTCCACAATGTTTATGATCGTTTACATATAATTTCCTTATTAAGAACATTTGCTATTATTAGTGACTGGTCAGTATGCAATTATTAAAATTATACAAGCAGTCTCCGTGACCTTTACCCCCTTTTTTCTTTACAATTTTGTGGTTGTTTTTTTTTTTTTTGGAGATAAATAATATTGTCCTCAGCAAAATTTTCAAATCAACATGACAATCTTGTTTGGAACATTAGTCGATCCCGATTGTGAACTGAAGTATAAAAAAAAAATGCCATAATTCCGTCAGTATTCTATGAAGCGTAACACAATTCAAGCCAACAGGACTTGAAACAATTCATCAAGATACACTCACATACATATACTTAACAGTAGCTCAATATCTGCAAGCGTTTAAAAAAAGTGCGGAAAACCAAGTGGGAAAGACTGACAGACAGACACAGAGGAAACCTTGTATCCCCTCAGGTTTCACTAGTAGGTTACTTTTTAGAATGCTTAGATAACGCTACATATATAACAGTTTGATGTGACCTCATATAAGGACAGATAAAGACTCTCATACATGAAAAGGTGCAATACCAAATCATACGTTCTTATTTTACAATAGGCATGAAATTCTACGCGTTTCTCATTCTGTTCTCTGGCTTGTCTTCTGTTTTTGGTAAAGATGATTTAGATCAGGAAAATGTTTTACAGTTTGTGTTGAAGGAATTACAGTCTCTGCGTTCTCGTGTTTTTGAGCTAGAAAACATTATCGGAAATCAGAATGAAATTATCGTTGACCAAAATATACGAATAAACCAGCTGGAGGAACTAACCTTGACTAAACACCCTGGTGGCAAAGCTGTTGAAAAAACGAAGTCGATTGCTGATACCGCAAAACCTATGAAGGACATCAGTCCAGTGCAATCTAATAATACACGCGTTGGATTAAATAGAACCACTTCTGCAGGGCATGAGAAAGAAAACAAAATGAGCAGGAAGGGTATGTTTTCAATTCAATTTGAAAGATGCAACAAATATTGAGAGTAATCAATATGCTATTATATGACTCTTAGATCGATCACATGTATACACATAATATCTTTTCCTCTAAAATCAAATCAACGAGTATTACAATCTTATTAAAATTAGATGTTAGATCTGCTCGCATACTCGAACAATATCCTATTGAGGGTCATGTCAGAGGTCAAATTCAATCTACCAATCAAATCGTCACCTGCAGATATATATATATATATTGTTGCAGCGAATAAGTCTAGAGCTGTTCCGAACTTGCATGACCTCTGACGTGACCTTCTATGGGATGTGAGATGTTATTTTAGCGAGTATGCGAGTGGATCTAACATCTCAGAAAGGTTTAATTAAAAATAGAAATTTTTATCCCGAAAAAGCATTTTTAGATACCAATATTCATTAACATGATATGAAAATAAAAGTGATTTATGGAGCTTTGCAAAGAACATTGAAGCACATTGAGAGGCATATAATGAAAATTGTTGCATGAAAATATTTAATTTTCAAGCTTCATTCAAAGACTATTTGAATTAAATTATAAATTAAAGAGTTGTTCTTCCTGACTGAGGGTCAGAATTCCTTAACCTAGCTTATGCAAAATTAGTACACCTTCTGAAAACCTATATTTCTATATATCAATCCTTCGTATATTTATAATTAAGTTGGAATTTTAATTAAAGAACAATATACTTCTGTATTTTAAATGCACACAAATGTTTGTTCTCCTCCGTACAGATTCAACCGGAATCAGGGCAGTACAACCCATTGCTTTTTATGCTTACATAAACACCCCTTTAAATAACCCTGGCGGCCATCATACCCTGATTTTTGACACAGTCAAAACGAATCAAGGCGCCGGTTACCATCCTCATGTCGGAATGTTCATTGTCCCTAGGACTGGAACCTATTTCTTTACATGGACACTGTCCCTCTGGACTTCCTCTAATCATGGTGCAGAACTGGTTGTGAACACTGTGGCATACGGCTCGATATACGTCGATACTACGGACAAGCGAGACAGTAATACCGGAAACGTTATTTTGAATGTTAACGAAGGGGATGAAATTACAATTATGGACAAATCATCAGTGATGACTACAGTAAAACGGATTTTTCGGGTTTTCTGATCGAATAAGAGTCATTGTATGAAAACGAAAATACAGTTGGGATGCATACAGTAAAACACGGTGAAAGCAAAGACTCATAATGATTTCACAATGATAGCGAAGTGATTTTATACCCCTGGCTAATTATTAGTACAATTATGGTAAAATGAATGGGAAGATTCAAGATACAGAAGTGTTTTACTGCCGCTTGGACTTTTTTTAAAATTACATTTTCCCAACTTTTATCTGAAAAAATTACACATTTTGTAAAGTAGGTCAAACATCACAGTCTCTTTCACAGGGTCTAAACTATCTGTACAGGTCTTGTCACAGGTAATGTACATGCGAAATATTAAAGCCTTATCTTTTCTTATTTAAAAGAATTGACCAAAATTTAACATTTTTTGAAAGACGAATGAGATTTAATGAAACTTTCGCAAAGGACAAAAAAATTATTTCACATCCTGTTTCTTAAATATCCTCAAAATTTAATGAAATTTAACAGGAGTAGCCCTGGCAAACTGTTCATTTCTTTATTCAAGATATTGCCATAATAATAAAAATAAAAAATTCCTAGAAAACTGCCAGCAATTTCCTGGCAATAAGGGATAGGAGAAATACACACTGTGTTCAAAATTGACTGTAGAGTTTGATAAAACACTATTGTTGATAATTATTATTCTGAACTAATAAAATAATACATTTAACGTCACATTTCCCTATGTGCACTTTTTATAGCACAACCACGTATAAATCAGCCACTGCAGTCGATAATAACGTGTATACAGGAGAGGGCTTGAATTTTAAACTACCTGAGGATATATCTTTATCAATTTAACAAATTGCTTTGTTGTTCTTAGGCAGAATATTTTCCCCTACGTCTTGCTTTGTAAAATTTGATCCTGCCTTGTGGCCCGATCTCACCCAAAGGGATCATAGCTTGAATCTAGACTACTCTACCTGGGGCTGCTATTACGGCGTAACTTTCTGCCGCCAGGGAATTAGCTCTGGATTGCCTTACGCTAGTACACCTTTGTCCTTGGCCCTTTGGATATTCCTTGTTGGCCCTTTAAAATACGACAAGGTTGAGGTTATACAATGCGTGTCCCGAGCGTGTAAGTATATTACAACATAATAAAGATCAATTAATTTACAAGATGTTATTGATTGATATTAATGTACAAAACATGAAATATTTATATTGAATTAAATGGCCCTAAAGATACAATACAGTGGTCCGCCATTAAACATTTTTCACTTCCGGTTACATTTCCGGTGCTAGAATTATTACAAAAGTTATGGCGTTGATACAAATTAACAATGACATCATTTTAACAAAATAACATTGAACAAATGTTGTGGGAAATTAGAACAATATACTTAACTTCTATAGTTAACTTTTTAAAGGAATTTATACCTTATAATATGATGACTAATAATCAATCTTTTACAGTAAATATGTATCCTAACTATAATTCATAAATGATAATTCTAACTGTTAATATAGAATAAAACTGAATTCATAACTAAGAATGCTAAATATTTGATAAAAATATAAAATAAGTAAAAGTTTCAATACTGACCTTTAAAATACGACAAGGTTGAGGTTATACTAGTGCAACCCTTTCAAAGGGTGATAATTATTTTTAATTATATTGTCCTTAATAGAATTTAATTGATATCCCTATCGGAGCCTCACAGGGATAGCGTCCCTTATTACCTTGAGTTTGATTCAACTTGCCGAAGAGTTTCTCACTTTTTCTGGCATCTATTGTTAAGAGTTAATCCCGAAGTGATAGTAAATTAACTCAGATATCTGCGTACTGACAAATGAATAGATAGACAGGCAAATGTTTATATTACAAATTAACTTTACCATTGATAATTGCAATATGTGAGAAAGTATTACTGAAATAAATTGTAACATATGTTTGATCCTTATTATCCGCACAAATAAACTAATTTATTTATTTAGAAGGTACACTTAATTCTAAATATTTCCTATTTTCAAAATCATAAACTTTTAAATAAAAGCTTATAATTTAATTAGAAGAATAAAATAAATATTGATTATCCTTGATTATATAAAATTATGTCAGAATTCAAAAACATTAAAATGTGCACCGTCACACTGCTTCTATATCAATACGAATAATCATGGCTGTGATCTCAAAAAGAAGACATAAAAATCTGCAATTCACTCTATGCAATTTCAAATGTACTCTATCTGATAGTATTTTCAAAATATGAAAGACTAAACAGGACCTTTTTATATTTAACTGGGAAAAGTTCAAGAAATTTTCTAATTTATTCCTACATAAAAATTTAATCTCAAACTGTGACTCTATTCTTACTCCAGAGGTCATGATTTAAATAAACTTGAATCTACATTATGCAAAGCTGGTTTCCTTAAAGTTTAAACAATTTTTGATCTGGTGATATTCTTGAGAAGATTAAGATTTTTAAAACATACAACCATTTTCATTACTTCCTAATAACCACCCCTTATATAAGGGCATGGTCCTTCATTTGAACAAATTTGAATCCCCTTCACTGAAGAATTCATTGTGCCAAGTTTGGTTAAAATTGGTCCAGTTGTTCTGCAGAATTAAAAGGTGTCCGTGATAGAAGCGATTCATTATTTTATAATGATTTCTATTGTAATAATCAGTGAACACTCCTCCATGACACCCGATTCCCCCTCTTATGTTTTGGGTGGTCAGTGTTGCTCTGTTCCAATTTACATTGTTTAATGGACTTTTGAACTTAAATACTATTTAATTGTTCTATATAAAACATACTATAATTATATCCCCATATATTTAATTCCTAGTTTCTTTAACTTGCGTAGACGTTTACGCTGATCTTGAAAATAATCTTCTAAATTGTGTTATTGAATATATAAGGTAAATTACAATGGAGACATGAATGGAATCAAACGTTTTGAAGGAAACAATAAAGGTCAAAATGCGACCAAATAGATAAGCCTTTCGACTAAGGACGAAAGTTGACACCTTTAGTGGAGAGAGAGATAAACAATTATCACGTAATAGTTGACATACAAGACCCAAATCACTGCTACATGTATCATGGTGCTTAAAATGCAGTTTTATTTAGTTCTCCTGTTCTGTGGTTGTTTTTCTCGCGTTTGTGGTAGTGAGCATCGTAGGCAGGATGAGGCAAACCAGGTCTTGTTGCAAGAATTACATTCTCGTGTATTGGAGATGGAAATCGTTATTAAAAATCAGAACCAGATAATTCAGGACCAGAACTACAGAATCGCAAAACTTGAAAAACTAACTATGATTGGGAGTTCTCATGGTGAATTTGTGGAAAATTCTAACTTAGTGGTTGAAACAACTGACAGAGGAATGTCTAAGCTGGCTGATCCAATGCGGGGGTCAAATCAAACAGTCCATGGATTAGTTCTGGAAAAGGTTCGTTTGCCTGGCAGAAAACCTCAACAAGGAAAACAAAGAATTCGGCGAGGTTTGATTTTTTAAATTTTCTTGGGTATAATATTTTTCTCTCTGTATGTCCTTTTACTAGTATATATTTTAAATATTTGATTCATTTCCGAGAAGGACTTAATTAATATGTATTTATGTGGAAAGTAGGTTTGGTTGCCATAATTAGTACTCGCAGATAGCTTCTGAATTGACAAGTCACTAAAAAAAGAGTTCGTCAAAAATTAATGATTTACAATGCCAAAATATATATTTCAAAAAGCCGTATACATTTATTTACAAACAGCAAGTATACAATTAAAATTCAATTACTGCAGATTGATTGCAAGTTATTCAAGTGGTCACGTGCGGCCAACATGCGGTAAGCTTTGTGTATTTGAGTAGCACTTTCCTGTACATGTAACCATGTGGAATATTGAATATATTGTTCATATTGTTACATCGCTGCATAAGGCGAGTAAAAGTCGAGGGTAAATTGCTCAAGGAATACAAAGTTATTCGAAGCCAGGCTGGCCTGGGTTTTCTTCAGAGGGAAACAAAATGTGTTTGTTAAACACTGACCCTCCCCCCTCCTTACCCCGTATGACAGTTTAACAAAGGCATCTCGGTGTTTTAAATATATTTTTCTCCTTTGAACAACGCTTTATCGTCATCAATCTCACATCTAACGTTTTGCAGGGCGGTGTTTGCTCTATTTTGTATGTTTCATGGACTATTGAACTTGAACATCGTTCTTTATCTCCACAAATTTCATTAAGAAGTTTGTATTTAGTCTAGAATATTATGCAAATTATTATAAGAAGGTAAATGACTTTTTTTCTTGCTTTAAGGAATTGAAGCAGGTCAGCCCATTGCGTTTTATGCTCACATGAGTGGCCACTTAAGATCCCCGGGCGGACACCACACCCTTATATTCGACACGGTAAAAACAAATGAGGGTAAAGGATACCATCATAACATTGGAGTGTTTATGGCGCCTGCATCTGGAACCTATTTTTTCACTTGGACCATGTCTCTCGGCGCCTCGGCTTCTCTCTCTACAGAGCTTGTCGTTAACACTGTCCCTCATGGCTCAATTTATATTCATACGAGCTCGGACCAGCGTGATAGCGCCACTGGAAACCTCATTCTAAGTCTTAACGCAGGGGACGAAGTCTTCATCCGAACAGGGGATTCTTTCAGCTCTGCACAAATCCTAAGTGATGAATACAGCAGGACGGATTTTTCTGGATTTCTGATCGAATAAAATTTACATTAAAATAGATTCAACATGATTTGAAATACTTTATTTTTAAGGCCAGGCGCCAAAAGACATAAGTGTATAAAATTGTTCCTGACAAGTCTTTCGCAGCAAAGCACCAAAAGTCTTTAAATGTAATATTCAAAGTACAAATGGTGCGAATAGAAACAATAATTAGTTATAAAGAAAAGTGGGTTTGGCTGGGGCTATTTTATTCTACTTGTAATAGATTAAAATAGATTTCAAACTTTTATTATAAACCCACTCCGAAAAAGATTTGGGTATACTGTTTTACCTTCGTGTGTATGTCTGTCCGTAACAAAGAACTATATGCGTTTTATTGCATATATTTGCCCCCACAAAAGTCAAATTTTGAAAACTTCCTGAAATGTGCTGAATTCTATAAATTGTATGAGAAATATAAACGAACAGAAAATATTATAGTGTCAAAGCAGTGTATTTACAATTTTTGTTTTTATGACGTCACAAACTAGTCCAATTTTATATCCTTTTTCAGAAAGAGGACAAAATTGACAAAATTTCAACAATTTTAGCTTTAAAATTTATAGAGCGCAAGTTTGTTCAGGAACAATATTGACTTATTTCATTGATATTATCATTCTACACGTTATATCAAAATATTGATCCTGAACACACATGCGCTCGGTGACTTTTACTCAAAATATCGGCGAAATATATACATTTTTCTGTAAAATTCATAAAAAACTGAAATTTACGTCATGTTTGTGACGTCATTACGTACATATGGCGTCATTACTTATGAAAATATTCAGTGCTTTAAAGTCAGCATATATTTCCCTGTTTAAGAACTTAATTAAATATATCTCCATCAAAGTTTGATTTGGGGGGCAAATATTGGTTATTACCGAATAAAGTTCTTTGGTCGCACTTTTCTCGACATCTTCTCATCGCAGATGCTTGAAATTCAAGCACATTCTTTTCAGAGGCATGCCAAATGGTGCATGTCATATGCTAAGATTTTTTTTGGTTCAAATCCGATGTCAACTTCCTGTTTATCTGCGAATTTATCTGCGTGCATTTGCTCGTACCATACAGATTTTTTTTCGTTGTTTCCCAGCAAATACTCATTGCAGATGCTTAACTCTTTATTGAGACATGCCATACGGTGGGATTTCATTTTGTATAAATCAGATGTCAACTTCTTATTTACACGTGGGTGTGTGTTTACTATATCTAACAAATTTTCGTCGCAGTTTCTCTGCAACTACTCATTAAAGAAGCAAAATTTCTGATGAGCCATTTAATGTGTGTGTGTGGGGGGGGGGGGGGCATTTTCATACCAATCTTATATCAGTGATGTCCTGTTTATTTGTGCATCTGCCAGTACCATAGAAAACAAATTTTCCTAGAAGCAACTAACTACTCATTGCAGATGCTTTAAATTTAAGCACATTCTTTGCTGAAGTTTGCAAAATAGAGGAATTCGTTTTCATTCAAATCTAATGTGAAAGTCTTGTTTATTTCTGTCTGTTCAAATCCAGCCCTACTAATGTTATTGTGATTAAAATTCAAGACACGTGGTTTAGGTTTACATATTCAAAGGTAATAGGGGAAGGACCGGTTTTATAAATAAAATTGGCAGTAAACAGGAAATTGCTATATTTTGTTTCTGCTGAAAACATGTTCTGTGAAAAAGGTGTTTCCAAACCTTTCTGAAAGTCTTTCATGATTTTCAACCGAAATGGGTGGCTTAAATGGGGGGGGGGGGGGGCGTAAACAACAATTAATATATCTTACGATAGTTTACTGCAAATATACAGCTTACTAGCGACCGATACGCTGGTAAAAAATGTGTAGTATCATCTACACTCACAAACCTTTGTTTGTCTTATATGACTATTGCTAGTAATGCGCACATAGGATCTTACCACGAGCAGCTGAACAATTGTTGATTGAATACGTTTACACCAAATGCATGTTTACATTTTACTTCGAACACGTGGTTCAGGTCAATCTATGATCATGTCAGTGGAGTGCAAAATAAAAAAAAATGTTCCTATGTACAAAATCCAAACATTAGAAACTATGAAAAATATCACGGGCGTTTTTAATTTGTTGTTAACTAGAGAAAAATATGTTTAATAAAATGTATACGTAGTTAGTGTCAAGTTCGCAACACCAGCACTTCAAGGGTAAAGAAAACTAGAAGCTTTTCGTATGCGTTTAAATGGACAAAACATTTTTACATAACTATACTCATATATGATCACATGTGTTGGTCAGGGAATCCATCTGATCATTGTATTCACCGATAGTACAATAAAGGAATTTATCAAGCGTAAAATTCCTGTAGTATTCGTAGTAACCCATAATGCATTTCTCATTCATCTGATTTTTCAGTTAAAGTCACATTGGTGCCTCATTTACTAATCTGACACCAAAAAATATAATCCCGGTTCCCATGCAAAATGTTTGTCCAAAAAGAAATTTTAATTCATGACAGCAGAAAAGCATAGAGCATACTTATAACTTAAACTTGAATGAATTCAAAAAAGATCGATTGAAGTACGTTTCTACAATGATATAATGGGTGGTGAAAACTAAAACGCAACATAACTTTTCTGTTTACCATGTCTCCATGTGCTATTCACTCCCTTGCCACATTTCCGTGAATAATTTACCCTATCTCTCTGAAGTCTCGCTAACTCTCGCCAAGAGCCACTGTCAGAGCTACTCTGAACTCATCGGGTTTTATAATTTGCAGAACACCGAACAATTAAAGATTCTGAACACATTAGTAGGGGTGAAATTATTGTCCTAAATTTGTCAGCAATTTCTCTCTATAGATGCTACAAATATTAGGCCATCTTTTTTTTCCGACATGCATATGCAATTGCAACTTCTCGGACCTTTCCGACTAGCCGAATAACAGCCTCGAATGTATTACGTAGATGCTATTACAACCCCCTTTTAACAATATTTAAAATAAATGTTGGAATACATCTTCTCTGTGGAGTACAGAATTTAACTTAATTGGATGTAAAGATATTACATGGAATACATTATAAAAGGGACTTTTAAGCCTTATATTTGAATTAACAGGAAATGTATAAAGTTTTAACATCCGGTGATGTTTATGCATTCGAGTTTTTTTTCTGACCTCTGACGGAAAGACCCGAGATGATGCGATAGATGCCTTATGGTGAGATTTATTATTAATTCGGGTCAAGTACAAAATAAGACGAAAATAGTCCCATCCACATAATCTGCAGTAAATCGGTTTTTGTTATTATAATATTTTTGTAAGATCATAAATATTCATGTATAATTATATCAATTATATGCTTATATAAATATATTTACAAAACATTAAATGCAAATTACTTTTTGATGAATATTAACAAACACTTTTATTAAAATGAATTAGTATAATAATAACCAAGGTTACATGTAAAATAGCAACACCTTTTTTTTTTTTACTTAATAACGCAATTTGACAGGTCGACAGGTTGACAGGTCGACAGGCTGACAAGTCCACAGGTAGACAGGTCAACAGTTTAAATTAAGAACAACAAATTGACAGGTTTTACATGTCGACAAGTCGACAGGTCGACAGGTTGACAGGTCGACAGGTCATATCATAAGATACATGTATATCGAATGCCCATAAGTGTAAATTTTATTCTCATTTCATATGTGCAATGTCTGATAACAGTTAGATGTACAACATATATATACGTCTCCATTTGACACAGAAACCAAATTAACTCAACAATGTGTATTATGCTGACTCATTTTACTATAAATGAGCTGAATATATAAATTGTCAACACGTCTTATTGTCAACTCAAAATGCATATGAATAATGTTGTCAACCTGTCAACCAGATGTAACCATTTATTAACAAATTTACTTTGATTCAAACTTCATGGCGTTATTGATGTCAACTGTCGACCTGTCAACCTGTCTACCTGTCGACCTGTCGACCTGTCAACCTGTCGACCTGTTGACCTCGGTAAGCAGACATATTGGGATTTTTATGAACAAATGATATTTTATTACTTCGAAATACATAACCTTCTTAACATTTATAATAATGTCAACCCGTCAGTCTGTAGACCAGACAAAGTAGTATGCTTATGAACAAATGTTCATTTATGACTACTATGTGCACATTAAATTCATTGATAATTTAGATTTAAATAAATATCATATACAAGATACATATCTTGTTTCGTACGTTTATGATCCATTTTATATAATAATTGGTTGACAGTATAGAATGCAATTGGTTTATATAACTAATTTACCAATAATGGCTCCAAATATTCATTAATATTCACATTTGATTCATATGCAAAATATGGTAATTTATTTTATTTTGTACATTTATGAATATTAATGAATATGCAAAAAATATATATTCTTACGAGAAAAAAAAGGAACTATTTTCGTCTTATATTGTACTTGAGCCCTATGGTAAATCGTAGGGTGTCGAACGAGAAAAATAACGAACTTTAAGATCTCCATTGTTTTACAGCGGCATGATCGTTATCTAAATCATTTGTGGTCGATGGTTTCTAAGCATAAGAAGATCTGGGTAAAAACTACATGTATAGATGATTTATTTGCCCTGATAATCGATGGAATTTTTTTTCGTTTGGCAAAGAGTAGATTTCCAAAAAAGTAAATTGGTACACCTTTAAACCCGTATATTTACATTTGCAAATGCTTTCCTTTATATAACACTACTAAAAGCAAGCGTTTTTATAACTGTATAAATACAGGTATCTAAATCATTAGTGGTAAACGATGGTTTCTAGTGAGCATAAAGACGCGTGTTCAGTGGATTACATACATGCCGTTGGGTTTGAAAAATAATGCATTTCACACGTTAAAAGTCAAAATCAGGCAAATTTGAATTTAAGACACAAATGATAAATATCGTAATAAGGAATTTTTTTTCGCTTGGCAAAGAGTAGATTTCCAAAAAAGTAAATTGGTACACCTTTAAACCCGTGTGA